CGGGGTCTGCCGTGCGAGCGCCAGGGCCGCAGGGGGCTGACGCCGGAGCCGGGCGTGGATTGGTGTGTGACGACGTCGGCCGCTCTTCATAGGCCGCTCAGGGCGGCTCGCAGGGCTTTGATTGGCTCAGCGGGCACCTAGCGGTCATTGGCTGCTGTCGGTCGTCAGGACTACAGAGGAGAAAAGGAGAAGGGGTGCTGGGCCTGGCGGGCGAACTGGGGCTGCGGAGTGCTGTGTGGCTCCGCGCGGCGGTGTCCGGAGACTCGCGGGGCCGGGGTGCCCAGGGTTCACGCCACACTCCAGGAGGTGCCTGATCGAGTGGACTGGCCAGCGAGACCCGCGGGCTGGGACCATGGGCTGTTTCTTCTCCAGGAGGCGGAAGGCTGACAAGGAGTCGCGGCCCGAGGGCGAGGAGGAGCTGCCGAAGCAGTACAGCTGGGACCAGCGCGAGAAGGTAATTAGCCGCTGGTCTCAGGCTGCTCCGTGAGGGTCCCTAACGGCCCGGGAGTGCTGAGGTAGCCGACCCGACAGCTGCCCCACTCTTGCTCTCTCTCGAACGCGAGTAGCTGAAGTCGGGGTGCAGGATTTTTGGGGGGAGCGTGAAGTACAGTGCTAGGGAGCGCGCCGCAGAGGGCAATGAAGCGGTGGAAGGGGGCTTAGAGTTTGTTGTCCCGGTAGATGGACCCTCGGTGGCTTTCCCTCGGCTGCGCACCCTCACTTGCGCTGACTGCCCATCCGAGGATGGACTCGAGGGAGGGAGGGAGCCGACAATGCCTTGAATCTCAAATCACCTCATTTCAGCGGCAGCGCCGAGCGGGGTTTTGTCCAGTCGTCGAGTTACACATAGGGTTGATTCTCATCTCTTCCGCGCCTTCTGCGCCTTTCTCTTTTGTCTGTCCTCCCCGGTAAATCTCTTTGGTGCCTTATGATGCTTCCACTGCTGGATTTTCTCAATTACTGAGGGGATTGTTTAATGTACAGCTTTTGCTCTCTCGTTCCAGTTACCGGAAAGGAATAATGAAAATCGAATCTGTTTTGGAGTGTGTGTTAAGACTGAAAAGGGAAAATAACTGGCATAAATCAGGCAGTATGTTACTGTTGCTTTAAATGAATGAAAACGCCCTTATTTTTACTTTTATATATAGCCAGAAACCAAAAAGCTTTGAAAACGTCCACTAGTCTTGCACAAAATACACTTAGTCGTACATTTCATAATGTTTCCTCTTTCTACATAGTTCTCCATTTGTGCTTAGTAAAATACTTTCATAGACTTATGAATTATTTTTCTCTTCCAAAGTGAGAGATTTTTTTTAATGAATGGTATGAAGTTAACTCCTTGCTTAATGCAACATAGGTTTACCCCAAAATATTTCATAGTAAATTTCTTATTAATGTTTCGATATCATAGTCCTTTCTGCATGATTTCCAATCCTCAGCAGAATTTATTCGTGTAAACTCGGCTCTCCAAGTGTCAAGATTTAAGAAATTGGAAGCTTTTTGCAGACTTCTCGGCCCTGTCTTTCTGTCCCTGTTTCTTAGACCCTTCTTGGATCACATGGTATATTTATTCTCTCTTATCCGTACTTGATAGCAGTATTTTATAATGTAGGAGAAGAAAATACTGTGCTTTCTGTTGTACAAGAAGATTGCACCTGTCATTTAAAGTTATTTGGTGGGCAGTTTTTAAAAGATTCATTTTCCTCAGCCTTAGAATTTCTAACGATGTTTTTTAAGCTTGAGCTGTCATGAAGTTGTATATTTTATTTTAGCTTTTTGTTTTGAAATCATAGGCTAAAACTAAAGTGCTTTTATTTTTTATTTATAGTAGTCTTGATTGCCTCTAACTTATTGTTTTACAGTAGTCTTACAGTTAACCTTTATTAACATAATGTTCTGGTTAGTTGGATTAATTAGTTTTTCTTTTAGGTAAGTGGGTGTGTGCTGTGATTTTTTTTTCTTCTTTTGCTCTTTGGCTAAGTAAATGTATTAAAAAATAGAAGAGTGACACCAACATCTAAGCTTTTCCCCCTCTAAAAGAGCATGTAGTAAACTTTTAATCGTAGACACTGTTTTGAATTTACAGGTCATTTTTTCAGAACACTACTAGGTACTGTAGTTGTAGAGATGTAAGAGATGTTAGTGGATATGTAAAAGAAAAAAGCCCATACTTCTGGGTGTGTGTATAATAAAAGTTAAAATTTTGATCAACTGAACTAATCAAAATTTTTCTAAGTGAGCATTCTTTTTGGAATTTTTTTTCTTTTGGACTTACTAGGAATTCTCTCTAAGGTGCCTCATTTATGATAGCTTGTTAAATTTTATACAATTTTAAAGATTTTTTTTTCTAGTTCCTTACCTCCTATGAGGTCAGTTAAGGCCTAGTGTACAAGTGTTCTGTATTAGTCCCATGATACTTACATTTATTTTTTTTTACCATCCCCCTTCGCCCCCCACCCCCCATGATACTTTTACTGAGCATGCTCTTGCTTGGTCCTAGAAGATTTTAATTGTACCCTAAAAGGAATAGAATGCAAATATAGGCCAGAAAACTTAAATGAGGTATACTGCATGTATATTAACAGAAATGGTTTGTATTAAAAGTTTAGGCTTCCATAATGTGGTCATGGAGTATAGCATGTACAGTTTTAAAGTTATATCAGACAATTACCATTCACCTTGTAAGACTGTAGGTGTAAAACCAAAATGGGTTGCCTGAAAAGTTTCTTTGCAACTTGGAAAAGTGGTGTTTAAATTTTTCCTTAGGTTGTGTAATCAGAGTATCTTTACTGAGGGGCACCCCCTGAGGTTTGAGTTGTGTAACTGGGTCAGTCTTAGGGGACCAAAGCTAGGAGAAATTGTCTCAATTATAAAGAATGTTTGGGGACTAAGTGTTGTCGTGGCAACTGACATACTGTAGTCAACAGTGTAAGAAGTTCATTTTCTATTGCTGCTGACTTTGAAAAAGGAAAAAGCTTACTATACAATTACTACACTGACATGATGAGAAATATTTTTGGATTGTAAGATCTGTGTTTAGATCATTTGGAAAGAAATGCTTTTATCCTTGTTATCGGTATGCTGCCTCCCATAGCTAGGTAAATTATTCAGTGTATACTTGTATGTACTAAAACACCAAGGAAGACTCAAAATTATAAGACTTATCCCTGCCCTCCAAGAGCTTACTGGCTTTTTGGAGTCAAAACAGGAAACATTTAAGTACAAATGAGGTGAGAATGAGTGGTACAGAAAAGTAGTCTTCATTTTCCAGTTATTAATGTCAGTACTCTTCCTCCTAGATGATAGAAATGAGGATTTGTTCCCTAAACAATGATGACATAAGTATGAAAATTGTGATTTGAGTATGGACAGCACATCTCATATCTGTTACTATATTAGTCTGTTTCTGTTGCTTATAACAGAATACCTGAAACTGGGTAATAAATAAAGAAATAAAATTTATTTCTTATAGTTTTGGAGTCTGGGAAGTCCAAAGTCCAGGGAACACATCTGGTGAGGACATTGTTGGTGGTGACTCTCCACAGAGACACAGGGTGTCACATGGTAAAAATGGCTGAGCAAGAGAGAGACAAACCTCCATATCAGTTCTCCTTTTAAAGCCATCAGAACCACACCCATTACTCCATGAATGGATCAACCCATTCACAAGGGCATAGTTCTGACAATCCAGTCACCTCTTCAAGGTCTCACCATAATAGGATTCCCCACCCTCTTGACACTGTTAGAGAGGATTAAGTCTCAGTGAATTTAGGGGGGACATTCAGTCCACAGTATTCTGCCCCTAGTCCCCCAAAACTTATATCCTTCTCACAGGTAAATACATTCATTTCATCCTCATATCCCCAAAGTTTTAACTTGTCCCAGCACCAACTCAAAAAATCCAGTCTTATCTGTGAAATCAAAACAAATTACTTCCAAGATACAATGGTGGGACACACATAGGGTACATATTCCCATTAAAAAAGGGAGAATAGGGGCCGGCCTGGTGGCACACTGGAGAGTGCGCCGCTTGGGAGCGCAGCGGCGCTCCCGCCAAGGGTTCGGATCCCATGTGGAGACCGGTTCCCGCTCACTGGCTGAGCGCGGTGTGGGCGCAACACCGAGGGTTGCGATCCCATTGCCGGTCCCCGGTATGGGCGGGACACCGAAGGTTGCGATCCCGTTACCGGTCAGTAAAAAAGACAAAAAGGAAAAAAAAAAAGGGAGAATAGGCCAAAAGAAAGGAATAACAGGTTCTAAAGAAGTCTGAAACCCAGCAGGACAGGTATCAAATCTTAAAGCTGGCAAATCAGACCTTAACTCAGTGTTTGGCATTCTCAGCACACTGGTGTGGGGGTTGAATCCCCAAGTTCTCAGATAGCCCCATTCCTGTGGCTTACTTGGTCTTTGGACATTTTCAATTATTTGTTATAAGCAACACTCCCCTTCTGGTACCAGTTTACTGTGTTAGTCCATTTCTGTTGCTTATAACAGAAATACCTGAAACTGGGAATTTATAAAGAAATAATATTTATTGCTTATAGTTTCAGAGGCCGGGAAGTCCCCAGTCCAGGAGGCACATCTGGTGAGGGCCTTGCTGGTGGCGACTGTAGTGTCATAGGGTATCACATGGCAAAATGGCTGAGCAAGAGAGAGCCAACTCCTCAATTGCTCTCCTTTTAAAGCCATGAGAACCATGCTCATTACCACCCATTAAATCATCAATTTATTACTCAGTGAATGGATCAATCCATTTACTATGGCATGGTCCTCACAATCTAATCACCTCTTAAAGGCCTCCACTTTTCAATTACTATTATAGGATTTCCCACCCTCTTAACAGTTACAGTGGGGATTAAGCTTCAGTGAGTCTTGGAGGGACATTCAATCCACAGCAGTTACATTTGTCTCATTCAATAGAAATAATACTAAACAAAAACCTTATCCCAGAAATGCAACTGTCTGTTATATAACTTTGGGTAAAGCAGCCAATTTGTGCATTTCAGGTTCCTTGGTTATAAAGTGGAACAGTGCTAAAGATGTCTCTACTATTTACTAAGGTAAAGTCCTGTCCTGAAGAAGAGGAGTTAGACAGTAATGGTCACTTCTGAGGACAGAACTTGAACCAGAGGTTGAGCATGATGGAACCTCTTAATTATGGTCTTAATAAGAAAGATCATAATTCCCAGAGTTGTTTATCAGTGGAAGGGGTGGCTTTGTGAGGAACTGATCTCTGTGTTAAGAGGCTGAATGATGACCTGCTAGAAAGAAGTGTCTGCATTAATAGGAGGCTAGATGCTATTTTTAGCCTTCTTTTAAGTACATAAGGTATTCTAGTTATCCATTGCCGCATACCAAACCACCCCAAAACTTAATGGCTTAAAACAGTGGCAAGTGTTTATTTTGTTCAGAACTCTGAGATGTGTGTAAGCAGGGATCTCTGCTCAGTGTGGCATC